ATTGTATATAAAATATGTTTATATATATAAAATGTTTTTCCTGGGTTTATATGTAATAAGTTAGAAATATGTGATAAAGCTATTGTAAATTAAAAACTTTTAAAAGAGATAACTTAATGTTTGAATAAAGTATTCATATTTATTACTTACTATATATGTATCCTGTACTTATTGAAAGTAAGAAAAAAGATATAAGAAAAGGAAAATACAGATGCATTTTTTATTCATAATATCTCAATTACAAAGAAGTTTTTTTTTTGTTCTTCATGCATATGTATCAAATTCGATTATTATGCATTACATAGAGATAGAAAAAATATTTTATATCTATCGCGCATAGATGACGTGCAAAATTAAAGACGCGAAAACGGTTTACAATTTGTTTTTTTGCAAGAAGAAAGAAAAAAAAACGATCAAAAATTAATAGTACACAATGATTTTTTTACTAAGTATTCTTGAATTCTTAAATTATTGTATAAGACAATCGAATTCTTGAATTTTTAAATTATTGTTTAAGTCAACCGAATATTTATCAAAATAAATTATTAGAGTGATTTAACTTTACTTATTGGAACGATTTACAAATCATTTTATTATAAACCATTCGGATTTCCCAACTCGCTATTTTTTTTAGAATTCCTGCAACTTCTCTCCAACAAAAACATACGGGACTTTTTGCGCTCATTTCTCAATTATCTTCTTTCAGATCTAGCAAGCTAATTGAACAGATAACGATATAATTTCTTTTAATTGCTACAACATTTTTCTTTGCTATTTGAGATTATACATGTAAAGATCATAATGGAAAAATAATGAAAAAATCTGCTAGATTTTTATGTAGCAGTATATATTTTATGTAGCGCAGTATAAGATTTTTAATTTACGAGCAATTTATTCTAAGAAGCCTATTCTGTAACTTGTAGATGTCATTGAGTAGGTTTTATACATGGTAAAAAAGTTGCACTACGAGACTGTAGTACTATAGTTACAGTTGTGTATGTATTAAAAATTACAAAATAGACTTCTAATTTATTTTAATCCATGAGTTTGAAATCTGATAAATTCAATCAATATCTATTGCAAGAATAAACAAATCAAATTTTCTTTTAGAAATTACTAAATTAACATGATCAATCCTCTTTTATCAAATATACTAGAAAACTCTTTGATAATCATATTAATTTATTTAATTTGTTTAATTTATTTAAGTTTCAGCGAAACTTTTTTTAGTCCAATTAATATAACTAGAAATTTTCCAACCAAAAATGTATTAACCAAATTCTTACATAGTTAAGTCTATAATCATTCTTGCTATAAAATATCAAGCAATTATAATAACCAAAGATTCTGTTTAATCTTACTAAATACATTCTATTATACACATCTTGTTGATACAATTAAAACATTTTTCTCATTATAGATCACTCTCAATAGAATTATTTTGTGTTTTCTATAAATTTAAAATATATATCAATACAATAAGCTCATTATTATATTTGTAACGTTGTGTCTTAGCTTATTATATTATTAATATTTATATGTAAAGATCTTTAAAAGAACATAAAAATAATTTATTAGTATCAAGATTTAAAGTTGATTTAAAGAATTAATCAAGTTGTTTACAAATATTCTACAATAGTATCCTGAAACATCAATTTCATAGAAGCAAGGAATATCTTTCTGGATAACTTTATTCTCAGTGCAAAGATTATATTTAGTTCTTTTGATATTTGCGCTCCAAGAGTAACTTGAGGTTCATAACTGGTCCTGAATCCCACGAAACGATCTCTTCGTGACCGTGACATAAATACAGTGCATAAACAGCACTCTGTCGAATCGCTTCAAGATGATATCCCGTGGAAAATGACATTCACGAGAAAATGCAGGATCTTTTTTATTGATGATAACGCAAAAATGTAAAAATATTCACGTAGTGTTTTTTATTTACAATCTCCTCGAGTCATTTGTGATTAAACTTCTCTCACAAAGAATGATGAAAAAAGCTAGTCATTTCTAAATTAACAAGCTAAAGTACCTTTTATCTTTGTTGAATATACGCACGTGGTTGTATAAGATTTGTTTGCGTTGCTTAAAATTCTCTAGAAATTTGTACACGAGATAAATATATATTTGGATGTTAAGAAAAGAAAACGAAAATACTGAGTACAAAAAGTGTAAATAAGCGAACAAATCTACAGACAAAAATGACGTGTAGAAACGGAAAAGAAGAAAGAGAAAACGAAGCTTATACATTATTCATTATCGTCAGAAAGAGAATTGTGTAATCTTGTAATTATATTATTTGTCATTTTTCATTCGTATGTTGTATTGACAGGACGTGTCGATTTCATCAATATTATGCAATTTGGCAATAGTTGGCATGGATAAAGCATCGCAGCTTATGTCTTATGTTTACACGAAATCAAGGTTAAGTAATGAAATATTAAACAGTGAAATATTATTACTGTCTAATCTTATAAAAGTATGTATATAAAATTCAGAGTGAGCATAATCCAGGTATAATATTGTAATAAAATTAACATAATATCAAATAGAAGTTATTTTAGAAAAAATTATAATGGTGTCACTCGATTTCATTTTTTGACGATAATTCTGTGATAAATTCTTGACATAATAATGATTTTTAAGTGATTTTCTTAATTAAAAAAATTTTTTTAATTTAAATCCTTTTCAAAATCATTCAAGAATTTATCACAAAATTATTGTCAAACAAATATAATTTTACCTAAAATAATTTCCATTTGATGTCAACTTGACGTTATCATTTTTTGTTATACCTGAAAAAATGAAGAATCTGCAGTACTTATAAATCTATTCTGAGTCAATTTTTATATTTAAGACATTCTTAAAATGTCACGAATCAAGAATCGTATTAACATCTTAAAACATTACTTAACATTACAAAACGG